CAGCGAGTATTATGCCAACAGCATTGATGTAGTTTTGTATCTCTTTTGGTGGTGTCAATGAATAACCCTTCGCAACAGCACCCACCACATTACCTGCTACTATTGAGGGCGTGATTGGCAACTAAGTTTCAGGTGTATTGGGGAATTCATTGAAGAAACAGTCGGTGCTGAAAAGGCGCGTGCGCTAATGCCCTCCAAGATTCTATAACACAAGTTTGTTTAAATTTTTTAAATTGAAAGCAAACAACTTTTATATTGCGAGTACGTACTTACATACATATATGCCACTGTATTGACGGTCCCAAATCATATTGACACGTAAACAAAGGAAAAGTGATCTTGCTCTAGGCCACATAATATGATTCATTGTCGTAGCCATTTGACATCGATGTCCAGTTACGATATTCTACTTCGACTGATTTTATAAGTAAATGCTTTTTCTCCAGAGGATGACTATTTTGCACGAAAAATTCATTTAAAGCAGATGGAAAGCAAGCTAGCGAGGTCAAGTAGAGAATGTCGGAAGAAAGGGCGAAGCTTAAAATTTTTTAAAGGTACTTTAAGAAATAAAAACTTACCAAGTCTAGTCATCTGCATAGAAAATGCCAGCGTTAGTATCAACACATGATTCAGATAATCACTCTCGCTCGATGCCACAGAACCAGGTAGTTTTTCGCTGAAATAACGAGACATTTGTCTCTGCATTTCACCTTAGCCCAGTGATCAGCCGGCACTCACAAATTCAATTGTTTTTTATTGGTTTGTAGCGAAACGCCCGTACAGTGTAAGGGCGCTGTTGGGTTGATTATGTATACGATGTAGGAACATTTTCAGCAGTATAGGCTATATTGATGCTTGGAAACAGCAGGCAACAATTGCTCTATAAGAGTTAATGAAAATGTAAACAATAATGGAAAATTATTTAGGGCTGTGCGATTATTCGATTACTCGAGCAAGTTGGTTAATCAGTTGTTCGATTAGCATAAAAGTTGCGTTCCAGATGCTTCACGATTTGCAGAATTTGCAGGAAAACTGTTTCCTCCATTAATAAACCTTATGGAAGGTGGTCACCTGGAACGACTTCCTGTAAAAACCTACAAATCGTGAAGCATCTGGAACGCGACTATTACAATTAGAATATGATAATGATTAATACGATATAAATTAATGTTTTGAATAATCAATTAATTGCACAGCCCTAGCTTGCCCGCCGGTTCGATTTCGTACATACATTTCTACTAAAGCCGGCGCAGGTGTGGAACTTTTTCATTGGGGCTATAAAAATCAATAAAATTAGCTGGTTAGTTCGCAGTTCAAGCGGTGCCATTTAACAGCTCGCTAAGTATGTTTATTGAACGCGAAAAATAAATACTGTTGATATTGTTGAAGATGATAAAAAAAACTGA